TGGCTTTCGTGCCTAAGGCGGGACTAGAATTCACCATCTCCTGATGATTGGCCCACAGTCACGCAGTTGGCTTTCGTGCCTAAGGCGGGACTAGAATTCACCGTCTCCTGGTGATTGGCCCACAGTCACCCAGTTGGCTTTCGTGCCTAAGGCGGGACTAGAATTCACTGTCTCCTGGTGATTGGCCCACAGTCACCCAGTTGGCTTTTGTGCCTAAGGCGGGACTAGAATTCACCATCTCCTGGTGATTGGCCCAAAGTCACCCAGCGGGCTTTCGTGCCTAAGGCGGGACTAGAATTCACCGTCTCTTGGTGATTGGCCCACAGTCACCCAGTTGGCTTTCGTGCCTAAGGCGGGACTAGAATTCACCATCTCCTGGTTTGATTGTACCGATTTTCAGAAAGACTTTTTAAAAAAAAATAAAAGGTTTTTTTCATCCTTGGCTTTGGGGCCAGGAGGAAGAGGTCCCGAGAGCATATCCTGGTCACCTCTTTAGGAGCCTCTGATTTCTAACGAGACGTGGGTTTTCCTCCCCCTGTGGCTTGTGACCGGCCATCCCAGAGTTGCCCTGTTCAAATTAGGCAGCTGTATCAATCACAGAAATTGATAAAGCCAGAATGAGAAGCTCCCGGTCACAGCTGCCTTGCCCCAAGGGAGCCATTGACGGCGGCGGCAGGCGTGGGGGTAACAGCCCGGAGCAGAAGGCAGCCTGGTTTGTGCCCTCTAGATGCCAACCAGGCCATTAGCTGGTGAAAGCTTTGAGACCTGTGTTGGCAAGCCTCCCTTGGCACTGTGCTTTGGCAGCCCCTGGTGTGCCCAGGCGCCTGCCAGGGAGAAGCTGAATGGTGTTCTTGAAGTTGAACCCTCAACTTTTGAGGCATTTTGTCAATATCTTACAAGAGAGCATCAACAGAAAAGAATTTCCTGGCAAGGAGTCTTGAAGGAAGACACCCCCACCCCTGGAAAGAGGGAGGGCGTGGGCAGTGCCAGCTGGAAAGCCCCCTTCAGGCCTTCCTACTTCTGCCTGAGGGCAGAGAGGCTCCCTTGTCGGCCCTTGGCAAAGGTCTTCCGGCCAATGAAGTCCTTCTGGGGAAAGGTTCTCTACGCACATCCATGCTAGTCGTTTCCAGCTCTAGGGGGTGGTGCTCATCTCCATTACAAAGCCGAAGAAGAGCCAGCGCTGTCCAAAGACGTCTCCGTGGTCGTGTGAGTGGCATGACTAAACGTCGAAAGCTCACGGAACGCTGTTCCCTTCCCACCAAAGGGGTCCCTATTTTTCTACTTGCATTTTTACATGCTTTCGAACTGCTAGGTTGGGCGAAGCCGGGACAAGGAACGGGAGCTCCCTCCGTTATGCGGCGCTGGGGATTCGAACCGCTGAACTGCCGAGCTTTCTGATCGACAAGCTCAGCATCTTAGCCACGGAGCCGCCATGTCCCTTTTGTCACATCCTTGCAGGGCGCCCAAAATGGGAAGGGTTGAGTCGATGCAGGCTACCTCTCCCCGGGGCTTTGTCCTGCCTCCTTGGTACCCACCCTGGCTGTGACCCAACCCTGAGCAGCGGCTCCTACATCTGCTTCCCAGGCCCAGCTTACGGTGGCACTGGTGATGGGATCTAAAGCCATCCATCCTGAGTTAGCCCGACCTCCCAAATCAGGTGCCCTTAAAATGTGCGAGATTGAGATGTCCAGGAGACCCAAAATCCAGTCTGGTTGGGGATTATGGGTGGGCTGTCCCAGATTGATGGGTAGAGAAAGAGGGCTGGATATACCCACAGCTGTCCAGGCTTCTTCCGCTGGGATCATTTGCTAAACAGGTTTCTGCTACTCATATCCATGCTGGCTTGTTCGGGTCCCCTCCTAATCAACCCTGTGTGAGACCCTAAACTTATGTTGCCCTTGGGGGAGGGGGGGGTAGAGGGGTGGAAAATCTATCAGCTGCTTGCAGGAGGAGGGGGCTTCCTGTTGGTTTCCATCCCTGGAAATGGGGGTCCCCAGGGGTGCGATTCAACCGGTGTAACAATCGGTTCGCTGAGGACAGAATAGTGCAGGAGAGGGTGGGTGGGGCCAATTTACCGAACCAGCCATAAAAAAAAATGATAAAAACGATAAAATTAGCTACCGGTTCACTTGAACCAGGGTGAACCAGTAATTGTTTACCCTGAATCCAGGGTTCCTGAAAGCTGGCAGCTTTTAAACCACGGGGACTTCAACTCCCAGAATTCCTAGCCAGGATTTGAGAAACATGGATCGAATCTCTTAGTTGGGGTACATTGGCATGAGGACTAATGCTGAAGCGGTACCCCCAATGAACAGGGCGAACCGATAGAATCCTTGGGGGTCCTTCTTCCCCAGTTGGATGGGGCTTCTATTGAATTCAATAGTAACTATTGAATTCTACTGTATAGTGCAATATTAATGCAATGTCAGGGGTTTTCAATTCAGTGTATAGAATGTGAAGGATGTGTGTTTGTGTTCATTTTCAGTCATAATGTACACTGAAGGTACAAGGACAATAAACTAAAACTAAAAAAACTAAAACTAAAAAAACTAAAACTAAAAAAACTAAAACTAAAACCAAAACCAAAACCAAAACCAAACTTCCCATCCTTGTCTGGTAGGAGGAAGACTGGGGGCGATGGAGGGGGTCTTCAGGGCCCCCATGAATGGCAATTCCAGGCTTCAAGCATCCCCGTTCCCCCCCCCCCCCAGGCTTAAAATGTACCTGCTGTAATTTCCAGCTGGTGGGAACTGTGCCCCGAATTGTTTTTCTCTTCCATCCATTTCTCTGGGTGATCTTTGTGCCCCTCCCTGCCTGTCAGCTCCCCCCCCATTTCCTCTTTAGTTCTGCCTCTCCAACCTTGCAAAACTGATGACGTCATCCAGATGGGTGCTTATGGGTTTTTAAAAATGTTTTGCTGTATCTCCTTGACTTGGTTCTCGGGGTTTTGCCGTATATATTTTTTTTAAAAAAATTATTTTTTATCACTGACCATTTATAACATTTGGGAGGTTTTCTGGGGGTGGCTAGCTTGGCTCGCTTTTCTTTGGCACACCTACATTTACTCGCTCGCTTGTTGGCCAGGGAGGGTCCCCGGAGAAGGAGAGGTGGGGGAGGGGGGTGTCTCCTCTTTGGTCGGTGAATCTGGATGCGAGAAGTTTCATATCCAAATCTATTTTAGTCCTTATACTGCCTCCATCTTCCCTTAAAACAAGAACAGACTAATGTTGTAATTGTATAATGCGTAAATTAAATGTTTAATGAGATTTGAAAGGATAACAATTATAAGATATAAAGGTGACACGTTCTACTTGGTAATCCTAGGGGAAACCTTGCTTTTCAATGCCTGGAAGGGGAGGGAATTGGGTTTTTTTTTCTTTCTTTTCCCTTTCGGGATGACGATGGAAAAAGAATGTATGAAGTTGTAAACAGGACAGACAAAAGTATAAATATAATGACTAGAAAGATATAGAAATTTAGAAAAAGATATGTAATTGAATTAGAGAGGATAAGTTCTCTAAACACAAACAGAGTTAATCGAATTAGGTCTCCCAGAGGAACTGCATGTTCACAAGAATAAACATCACAGACATATCTACACACACACACACACACACACACCCTCAAGTGTCACCCTAGAATCCTGGAAATATGGACACTTCCACGTCTGAATATGTTCCCCTATAAAAGCCTGTGGCTTTGCCCCGTTTTCTCTGCAGCCTGGCCCCCTTAAGTGCAAAATGTTTTGCTTTTAGGAGTAAATATTTTCTTCTTTCCTCGCAGCTCTTTGGATCTTATTTGTATTTATTCCTCCACACTCCCTGCCCCAAATTATTCTTCTGACATAGAGGTGTGGGGAAGGGGATCTTGGTTGGATGGAAGGGGAGGGGAGGGTCAGGTTCAGCGTGATCCGAGGAGGACTTTGGATTCAGGAGCACCCTAAAGCTTCGATCTGGCGATGCTTTGGGCCTGGGTTGACGTCCACGAGGCCGAGAAGCCTCGGTTCTCCATCCTCTCCTAAATGTCTGTTCTCTCAAATCCGCACCCAGTGAATGAATGAATGGATAAGAAGGGGAGATCAACACACACACACACACACACACACACACACACAGAGAGAGAGAGAGAGAGAGAGAGAGAGAGACTTTTTCCTGGCTGGGATTTTTAAGGGACTGCATGTGGATGATACAAAGGCACACTGGGAATTCTGCATCCAGTTTTGGTCGCCATGATGTAAAAAAAGAAATTTCCAAGATCATGTGAAGTGTTAATATCACTCACTCTGTGTTGCCTTGATAAGACTAGATTGGGAATAGTACGTCCATGTAAAAAAATGTTGAGACTCTAGAAAGAGTGCAGAGAAGAGCAACCAAGAGGATTAGGGAGCTGGATAACAGATAACAGATAATCAGAGTTGGAAGGGACCTTGTAGGTCATCTAGTCCAACCCCCCGCCCCCGCCCAAGTGGGAGACCCTACACCATTTCTGACAGATGGGAGTCCAATCTCTTCTTGAAAGTCTCAAGTGATGACGCTCCCACAACTTCTGAGGGCAACTTCTGTTCCACTGGTTTGAGGCTAAAACACATGAAGAACGGTTGCAGGAACTGGGCCTGGCTAGTTGAGAGAAGAGAAGGACCAGGGGAGACAGGAGAGCAGTCTTCCAGTATTTGATGGGCTGCCCCAAAGAAGAGGCAGTCAAGCTATTCTCCAAAGTACCAGAAGGCAGGACAAGAAGCAATGGATGGAAACTAATCAAGAGGACAAGCAACCTGGAATTAAGGAGGAATTTACTGACAGGGAGAACAGTTAACCAGTGGAACAGCTTGCCACCAGAAGTTGTGAATGCTCCGTCACTGGAGGCTTTTAAGAAGAGACTGGACAGCCATCTGTCTGAAATGGGATAGGGTCTCCTGCTCGACCAGGGGGTTGGACTAGAAGACCTGTAAGGTCCCTTTCAAACTCTGTTATTCTACATTTTTTTCCTTTTGAATGGAGAGGCCTGCAAGAGCTCGGATTGGCAAGAGGAATGGGCCCAGAAGCTGATGAACGAAAACAGCCCTTCTAATCTCCCCCCCACTACCCCAAATAGGAGATTGGATTTACCTGGGATCCTGCAACTCAACCTGGGGCCTTTCTGCACCTGGACCACACGCCAAGGAGTAACACTAAATCAAGGTGATCGCCTTTTGTCAGGCGCCTGACTTCTGATTGTGTATCTGCAGGGATTGTGCCATGGTCGTAAGCGCGAGGACCAATCTCCAGTCTCTTTTTGTCAGTGCTGTTGCCAATTCGAACAGTTGCTGCCTGTATGGTTATAAGTCGAGGTATAGACCATGTTTTTCCGAAAATAAGATCCGGTCTAATTTTTTTTTTTGGCCTCCAAAAGAGGAATTAGGTCTTATTTTCAGGGGGAAATCTTCCACTGTCTCACTTGGGGGTGGCACCAACAGCCCCGCCCAGCAGAAGCCCGTGTGGCCACTGTTGGCTCACTTCTGCGGCAACTTTCTGGGGCTCCTACAAGTTGCCCCCAGCCTCCATTTTGCTGTCTGAGGCCTTCAGGAAAGGCCTCTGCAGCTGAGAAATGAGCTCTGATGGCGCCTCCGATGGCAAAATGGAGGTCCGTGGAGGGGAGCCGCATGCAAGTGGCAACATAGCCGCCGAACAGCTGGGCCGGCAAGGCGAGGCAGGTGTCCTGGTAGGCGGGGCCCAGCTGCAGCTGTCTGAAGGTAAGCAGTGCAACCACTCCCAATCGCCATCCTAGCTTGATTTTTACTACTGTGCCTCGCCACACCCTGTGAAACCAGGTGCAATGGAGTGGCCAGGGGTCTTAACTAGGGCTTATTTTGGGGGAGGGGAGGGCTTATATTGGGCACACGTGTAAAAATCAAGCTAGGGCTTATTTTGGGCAAGGGGGAAACACGGTAACTACCTGTGTGCAGTGCCTGTGAGTAATGCTTTCCCTTCCATTTTCCCTTCTGCCGCTAAGCAAATTCTCCAACCGACAAGGCAGCTTAGAGAAGAATTTGGCTTGGATTTGGAGTGAAAATTGGATTTATTCTATTGTAACGTATTTGGAAAATCGGATTTGTTCTGTATCCATCTCGGGTGTCTTTCTTGGCAAGGCCCGGGACAGAAAAAGACTGTTCCTTCTTCCCTTTGGGACATGCCTGCAAGACTTTTGGGGTGCACGAAGATCCTGTCTCCTTTTGGGAGGGTTCTCTCTCCTCCTCCATGAAATAAAAGGGCTACCGGAGGAGCGGGAAGACCAGGAGGGGTTTTGGCAAAGCTCTTTTGCCCAGATCTGCCAAGAGAAGCTCACCAACCTTGAGCCGGCGGACGGGAGATCAATCACCATTTCTCTCTGAGCCGAATCCTCACGGGTCGGCCAAGATCAACGCAGGGAAGTGGGGCCTGGCTGGCTCTCCACATTCGGGGCGGGATGGGACGTGTCTCTTCTAGGTTTGGCCCCTGAAGACAATCGTGTTGATGGGAATCGGCTGCCAAACGATCCATCAGGCAGACAACGGGGGCTTTTTTTTTTCCGCTCCATTTTTGCTGGAGGAGATTCAGAGGGGTGGGGGTAATTATCTTCCTTGTCAGGACACACACACACACACACACACACACACGCACACAAATCCCAATGTGTACCTTGGCGGAATCGGACAAAGACACGAGTGTCTGTTTCGGGCTGCATGCTCCAAGGGAAGGCTAAGCCCAGACAAGTCGGGGCCTTGAAGCCCCGGTTGATCCTCACCCATAAAGGCAACGCAGCTTCCTCCTCTGCACCCATCTGGACTACCGCCCCGTGTTGGACGTCTGGGGCAGCTTTTGAAGGCATCCCGGGAGCATGTCAATCAATCACAATAGAGCTGGAAGGGACCTTGGAGGTCTTGCAGTCCACAACCTCTGCTCAAGTAGGAGACCTTATACCCATGATGGAAAACTTACAGCACATGTGCCACAGGTGGCACGCAAAGCCATTTGTGATATGGCACGTGAGCTGCAGGCAAACTTAACGCACTGCGCATGCACGTGCCTTACAGGTGATTTTTGACCGGTTTGAGGCCTTTTTCGGTCTCCCAAAAGCTTCAGGAAGGCTTCTGCAGGCTTTGCAGGCCGAAAACTAGCCCTGTTTCTTCCCTTCCTGTTTTTCCGAAAATACCGAAAGTGATGGAAGGGGCCTAGTTTTCGGCCTGCAAAGCCTGCAGAAGCCTTCCTCAAGCCTTTGGGAGGCTGAAAAAGGCCTCAAACCGGCTGAAAATCAGCTGTGAAGTGCAGTGCAGGTAAGGGGGCAGCGGGGGTGGGTGGGGCTTATGCACACATGCGTAGGGGGCGTGGGGGGGGGCGCATTGCCTTCTGGGTGCTGGCACACGAGTGCAAGTGTGCAAGCGTGTGCCCAATTTTTGGCACAGGAGCCCAAAAAGGTTAGCCATCACTGCCCTTTACCCAGGGGTGGAACCGGTTCAGGCGAACCGGGTGTTAAATTTGCATCTGGTTCGCCGAATCGGTATTTGAACCAACCAGCTGGTCCCGCCTACCCCACCCCGCCCATTTTTGATGCAGGTAAGTGCAGAGTCTGTATGGGGGCTCCGGGAGGGGGAAAATGGGCAGTTTTCCGGCTTCTGGAGGGCCTCCCGAGCCCGGGAGAGGCTGTTTTCGCCCTCCCAGAGGCCTGAGGGAAGCCTCCGGACTCTGGGAAAGGCGAAAAATGGCCCTTCTGCAAATTCCGGTAAGCCACACCCACCATGGCCACGGCCACCCAGCAACTGGGCAGCAAACCAGCAAACGATTTTTGTCCTCAAGTTTCTCCTTAATTCCAGGTTGCTCCGCTCTTTTAATCGGTTTCCATTTTGTGGCTCCTTGTCCTGCCTTCAGGTGATTTGGAAAATAAGTTGACCCCTTCCTCTTCCTTGGGGCAGCCCCTCAAATACTGGACTATTGTTATCATGTCACCCCTAGTCCTTCTTTTCTCTAGATTGGCCAGACCCAAAGACAAAAAAAAATGTTTTGGGGGGATTGAAAATACGTACATGGTTAGAGAAAATGAGAAAGCAACAAATAGATTTAAAGCCAGAAATATTTTGGTTAGGTATTTTGCTAGAACAATACAATAAAGAGAATGTATATTTAATGCTACCTGTTTCAACGATAGCAAGAGTTGTATTTGCACAACATTGAAAAAACGAGGAAGCTCCTTCAGGTGAAAATATAATTTTAAAAAAAAGATACTGGAATGTGCAGAAATGGAGAGGTTAACGTTAAAGATAAAGGACAAAGAAGATACAGAATATGTTTTAACTTGGGATTTGTTTTACCATTGGTTAGCTAATAAAGATAGAAATTAGAAATTGGAAGAATATTATGATATATAAGTAAATAATGTTATTACTGTTATCGCTATATATCTGTAAACTGTCTCAGACAATACACTGCTTATTAAGCACTTATATAAAGGAAAATGTATAAATATATATTTTTTTAAAAAAAGCCTGCTGGCTAGGGGATTCTGGGAGTTCAAATTGAGCAACACTGCTTTAAAAGATCGTTTGTTGTGATTAAGTACTTTCCACATTTGGAAATTCTTTGATAAGCAAACGTGGGAAAGTGAGGGTTCTGCGCAAAGACTTTATTAATATTTAACAACAAGGAACGGAATTAACTTTTATTAAAATGGTTTGTCCGAAGCTTATATTAATATAACAGCACATCTATCAACTCTGGGTCCTTGCCTTGTCTGGAAGTAAATCGATATTCCTGCCCCCCGCGCCGCTTTGAGAGCGGTGGGCCATTCTTCTCTTTTCATCTCCCCCTTTCCCCCCTGGAAGATAAAACGGAAGGTGGAGCTCTCTTGGACAATCAATACACATCTTCGGGTTGAGATTTCCTTGTGGTCTTCTATTCAAAAATGAAATAATCCTGTTCTGCTTCTCAGACCAGGTGAAGTTGATCTGAGTCCTGCAACTTATTCTCTCTCTAACTTTCAACCACCCCACTTTCTCTCTTCAAGAAAAGATTAGACATTCATCTCTACAAGGCATAAGGCAGGGGGTTGGCTAGAAGATCTCTAAAGTCCCTTCCAGCCTTAGGATTCTGTGATATTCTCATTTTCTCTCTCTCTCTCCCTCTCTCTCCCCCTCTCTTTCTTGTTCTTTCTCATTTTCTCTCTCTTTCTCTTTCTCATTCTCTCTCTCTCTCTCTTTCTCCTTCTCTCCTTTCTCCTTCTTTCTCTTTCTTTCATTCTCTCAAATATTGGATGACTGCTCTCCTGTCTCCCCTGATCCTTCTCTTCACTAGAGCAGCCAGGCCCAGTTCCTGCATCCGTTCTTCGTATGTTTTAGCTACCAGTCCCCTAATCTTCTTGGTTTTTTATTTTTTTATTTGTTTGCCGAGCATGTATTAGATAACCAATATAAGTATAAACGTGGTTATTAATACATGATATTAACATGTGATATTAAGACCCAATATACACGATGTATTATTAATAAATGCTTCTCTGCACTCTTTCTAGATCCTCAGCATTTTTTCTTATATCATAGTGACCAAAAACTGTATGTAATATTCAAAAGCTAGTCTTATCAAGGCATTACAGAGTGATACTAACAATTCACATGATCTTGGAAATTTCCTCCATACTTCCAGTTTGTGTCTTCTCTCCTTGAGGAGTTTCCACCCGTTGCTTCTTGTCCTGCCCTCAGGGGCTTTGGAGAATAGCTTGACTGCCTCTTCTTTGGGGCAGCCCCTGAGATATTGCAAGACAGCTATTATGTCTCCCCTGGTCCTATTTTTTTTTATTATTAGAATAGACGTACCCATTTCCTGCAACCGTTCATCGTATGTTTGAGCCTCCAGTCCCCTCATCATCCTGGTTGCTCTTCTCTGCCCTCTTTCCAGAGTCTCAACCTCTGTTTTACATCGTGGCTACCAAAACTGGATGCAGGATTCTAGGTGTGGCCTTACTCAGGCTTTATAGAGAGGTGTTAGTACTTCATGTGAGCTGGATTC